TTCAGTGACGTCACAGCCAATAGACAGCGAGAACGCATTTTCGTTTGTTTACCCCAAGTGAGTAACTTGTTCTTTCTACGGACCTTGGTCTGGAATAATGTTTTACATTCAGTTCGCTAACTTGTAGGGATAATTCTGAAATCTGCTCTTGTAGTTTAACTGAAAAACATTATCATCTCTAGAGCAAGCTACAGCAGCATTCTAATGAGACGATTTTATCGGCCATTGTCGCCAATTTCGCTAAATCATCAACGCTGATAAATACAATGCTAGATATTGCCGTGGGTAATCTTTGAAGCCCAGAGAGTAAGAAAAGCTTCACCTATCTTATTGGAAGCTAAATTCTTCATTTCACATAACAAATGTGAAGGTTTTCTATTACTCAATTCCACCTCATTTAATAATTTTTGGGTCTCTTGCGTTTCGGTTGTGGCAAAGATGAAAATTATTCTGTCTTTAACAGCCACATACTTGTCGTCCCTTGGGCGAATTGATCAAAATATTTGACACCTGTGATAATATTTCAGTGTCAATAGAACTCAGGACATAATCGTATTTCGTTTGATCTGTTGTAATTGCAGCATTTCGAAATTGAGCTTCCAATTGGAGAAACCATATCATTGGGTCCGGTTTCCGAAACCCTGGGACTTTAATGCTAACTCTAGCGATCGATGTCCTAGCGTCACTTTTGTTTGCACCTTCGTTTTCCATTTTCGATTCTTGAGTAACGCATCCAGTAGTCACCAATGAAGTGGAATATTTTGTTAATCTTTCACCAGTAATAAACTTTTGTTGCTGGGTAACAATCTTATGTTGCCATCTTACAAAATTAAAATGTGAAATAAAAGATAAGATGAAGGGGAAACATAGCAGACGCTACAATATATTACGAGTTCAAAAACAAACAACGATATTCTGAAAAGTAAGGAATATAAACAGCAAATCCTGCTATTAGAGACGTAAAAAAATTATTATAATTGAAGATAGAGCAATATGACCCCGGAAATGGTGGCGACATAAAGTGTAGACATGCTAATAAATTGATCAACACTGACAGAATTAATGAGATCTACTATCTTTTTATATGAACTTATTTTTATTTCCTGTTATATAAGAACATCCATTTCCAGTACTCTTTTTAAAAACATCAGTTATGACAAATTTTACGCCTATGTTATTTTTATGGCTAAAAATGTTTGTAAAAATAAAAACAGATTATTTTCTACAATCTATGAGCGGCTACTGACCTTGAACAAAGCTCAGGTCGTATAAATTTACAAGTGTTAGAGAAAAACTTAAACAGGATGTTGGGATATTTAATTTTTGAATTCAGTTGTTCAAAAGAGTTTGTTTCTTTGCATACTACCTATTTTTCTCTTGCGTACCACCAGTTGAGAATCGCTGGCACAGACCAATCATACTTACTGGTTGTTGCCGAAACAATTAAAAAAATATTCTTACACAGAAAAAATAACTTTTCAGTAACTTCTAATCATATTTTCTTCTAGATGTTTTAGGTGACAAAACAGACATCCTTGTAGCCATTTGCCTTTATTCCAGTTTTTTTTTTCACTCAGAAATGTACACAGCATTTCATTTTCAGTGATATTATGCTTGCTGGAATGCTTCACCATCAGCTTCATATTGATGAAGTCCACATCTGTTTGTATGCATTTTATAAAAATTTTCAATAGTAATACGACTCACTTCATTAGGATGTACTGGTTTTTCACATTCTTCACTGCTGTAGTGTTTAGCCCCAAGTGAGAAGAATCCTCTACTCTAGTAATGGTAGTTTTTATTCCTTCAGTCCACTCAGAGCTTAAACAGTGCCAGTACTTTTTAGTTTTTGGGACAAATCATAATTCTAGCCGGAGCGCACAGGAAGCTCTGGCACTCTTTTATGCGACTAAATAATAAATTCAGCAGAAATTTGATCTCGAAAATTTTATTTTTAATAAATATATTAAAAATCGATTCTAACTTCTGAATGCATGCTTCTCTTTTCTTGGGAAACAAACCCTTAAACGGAGGTCGAAACTTTGAACAAACAAAAAGCCTCAACTCACATGCCAAAGGCTTATTCTCCTGAAAGTACAATGAATTTATGACATGGAGTAAATTTTTTGTTCCAATGCTAGTGTCTTTCCCACAGAAAAGAGCACCTGCAGACTTTGCAAAAAGATGTAACCAAAGACAGGGGATAAAAATTGTCATTTGTTTCTTTTTTATCAGCTAACCCTCGGATTCAGGGAAAATTTGTTCCCCTGTCACATTCTGTTTGACAACTAGAATTACATTGACAGGAGATGACTGTCAAATGGAGTATTGGCTTCTTCTTCTTTGTTTTCATATTTACACATCATTAGTTAAAATTTTCTCTATTCTGTTGCTGTTTATAACATTCTATCTAGTCTCATTAGTGACACTTTAACCATTCTAATGCTTTTCATTGGTGTCTTGGAAAAAAGAACAGTCTTTTCACTCCTTGAAGTAGTATGTTACCTTCAAGGCTTAAATTCGATTGGAGACCTGTTGAGCTATTTCTCAAGTTTTTGGGTGAAATTTAGATTCCAGCTGCAGCATTCAATAAATGAAGGTCCAGCACTTTATTTTATTATTTAACTATTTACAATTTATTTAATAACTTATTAAATTTTTATTTATCTCTTTACATTTTATTAAATTTACAATTTTAATGATTAGCCCAAAAGGGCTATTAATTTCGTTTTGGCATTTTGTGGTGACTAACTTTTCAAACTGTTGCCACCAAATATTATTGCCATGTATTTATTATATTTAAAGAAACTAAATAATGAATAATCTGCCTGAATGCATGAATGTTTCTTGCATTGTGATAAAACAACTGTACCTAGAGCCATTAAATTTTGAATAACGTAATCTTCCACTGAATATGGGCATTTGGAAGCCCTAATTAGGAAGTTGGAATTTGTTTTATTATCGATTTCATATTTTCTAACACTTTAATGAATTTTTGATTAACAAACTCAATGATTTCAAAGCGAGTAATGGCAACACTATGCAAAAAAAAAAAAAAAAAAAAAACATTTTTATCTCCAGCGCAAGAGACTGTGTATCAGACATTCTAAAGGATATGCTCATTTTAAAACTATTTTGTGATATTGCTGTTGAATTGAATTTTATGGTTTAAGTGTAAAGAACACGATATTTAATAAATAAAGGTTATACACAAACATTTATAATATAAAATCTGAAAGCTTTTATACTTTAAAAATATTCTAATGATTAAATATTTAGTTATTTTAATAATTATTGATTTAATTTTTTAAATTATTTTACGAGTCATTTGATTTATTTATTTATTCTTGTTCATGTTTCCTGACAGTCTTTCATAGCACTCTGGCACTTCTAATTTTTGAAATTAAGCTCTGAGTCCACTCATGCATGATTTTTCATTGACCTGAATTCAGATGTTTAACAAATGCCAGCAATATTAATTTTTCTTTCTAATTCAGATGCACCTACATCTGTATCATCTATGTTATAAACAATCCAAATACACATTTCATGGTGATAATGTTTCTTTATTGCTGTAATAATCCTTGGTCACAAGACTGATTTATCACTGTGATATTTGCTGGAAATATACAACTTCACTATGTTTAAGAGCAACATTTACATTATGCATTGTTCACATATCAATGTAAAGAATATCTTTCTTCAACTGATTGTCCAATATAGCCAGAATTATATATACATATGCACAAATATATATTTAAGCCAGAAAAGGATTTATGAATTACCATTATTATACTTGTGGAAAATTTGGATTTGGATAATGATGTTATCTCTGGAATGGATTACCGTTGTTAACCAAGCCAATGTGGTGTTCTGTGAAGCCACCATATATTGAAGCAGTAAAAATGAACACATGATCTTTCAATGTTTTACAGCTTTTTAAATTTTCAGTTTTAAGTAAATGTATATGATGAGGCAATATACAACAGTAGAGACCTGTTTTGTTGGCATTATAAAAAGCTTTCAGGATAGTACTTCCTGAAAAACAGAACTTATATCACTTGATTCACAAAAATGCATCTACAGCATGGAAATCAGCATCTATTTTTCCTCAATGAATGCAATTTTAAACAATGTTTTCTCTTTTCTTCTACTGACTAAACCAACCTTCTGTTGATACAAAATCATCTTTCCTAATTTTTAAGACTAAATCTTCAGTTTTTTGCCGCATCTTTTCATGAACATTTGTAAACTAGTATATCCATTTCATTTTGACCCTGCTTTGATTTTCAAATAATATTTTCGAAATTCATCAAAATCTTGCATAAGAGAAGTTGAGAAATAATTAACTTAAAAGTAGCATTCTATTGATTCATTTTTGGAAGTTAATCATAGCAGTTTAACAAGTTGACTTTATCCCTTAAATTCAGATCATTATGTTATTTGCTGGGTACTCTGATAAAAATTATTATGCAAAATAAAAAAAGAGAGAGAGTTTTCCAAAACAGCAAACTCATAAAAATATAAAGCTAAAAAAAAGCAAGATATGTTGTCACAAAAAAAGTAACTTAAAATTCCACTTTGTAAAAGTAGTTAGTCCAGTTGATTGCCCTAAAATAAAAGTTTTTTTTTTTTTTTTTTTTTTTTTTTTTTTTTGTACATGGGTACTTTAAATGAAAATTAAGATGCTTGATAATCTAATCCCTAGGTGACATGTCTTTGTCATTTGAAAATTTATGTACTCTATTTTGACCTTGTTTGGCAACATTATCTTTTATTTGACAGTATTACTTTGGTTTAAAAAATTCATTCTATAATATTAATTTACTTGATGATAATAATAAGTGATGTGTATTTTCCACGATTTTGTATGCAAATGGGTGAGACTGGCAATTTGGTAACAATATCCATCTGAATAATAATATTACCCAAAATCATATAAGTGCTGCAAAATTTTGTCTTATTTAAAAAAATTTTTTGTTTATATAAAAGCAGAGGAATAATAGTTTGCAATTTGTACATTATTATGAATTCATAAAACAGCATTCTAGGTTATGTAAAATGCTACATTTTTATTGTGCTAAAAATTATGCTTCAAAGGATGTTCAGGAAAATAGCCTTTACAGTCTATAACTTGCTCTCCCAATAATATATGATTTAATTCATTATTCCATGTGACACCTAAAAAAAAAAAAAAAAAAAAAAAAAAAAAATGTATTTAAACTTTATTATATAGCTTTTTGAAAAAAGCATGTGCAATAAAGTGATATAAAAGTTAGTTATACTTAAATATTTTCACAACAACATAGACTGAAAAGTGACAGATTGAGTAAGTCTAATTAATAAGTAAGACTTAAAGAAAAGAAAAATTAATTACAAAACTTGACATAAATATGTGTTGTTACTATCTATAGACAGGATAAGTAAAATGTAGTAAAATTCAAGTTTGACATTATATATATATATCAGAATTAATGGTTTGCATATTGGAATGTAAATGTAGAAACACACTAAATATGGAGAAAATTAGAATTCATTTTAGTATAGAACAAAAAATAGTATTTTGGTATCTATGATAATTGTTCAAATAAATGACCAGCAATTGCAATAAATGCATTTTTTTTAAAGTATAAAAATATGTTATTAATGTTCTCATGAAGTTTTGTTACTTAAGATTTAATGCAAACGATAATACTGAATAGCTTGCCACTGTTTTCTAGATCACGAATTGTATAAGATCTCCTTTTTAAAGTTACACTGATCAATATTTGGACAATAATCTGCATAGAAATGCCCATCACATAATCTCTTAACATCAGAAACCTTCTTCTAAGCAATATTTTATTCTTAATTAAATACAAATGCAAACATTTCACTCTTCAATTTGTGTACAACCCCTGAATACGATTCCTGAATTTTATATCGCATATCTCTGTCAATTTTTATTATACAGGAATCAACCTTTTTGTGTTTTATTTTTATAATAAATATAAAACTTTTCTAATATAAGCATAGGGACCGAATACACATGTAAGACAGTAGATGTCATAATTTTTACAAAGCTGATTTATTTAAATTTTAAAATTCGAAACCATTAAACTATGCACCATTTAAAACATTTTTAGTACATGCATATGACCAAAGGTTGCAAAAATAACAGCCAGGTAAGGACATTTGTCAAATCTTTCATGTTGCTCTCTCTGCACTCCCCCCCTCGAGCCCAAAATATCTCAATTATTGATTCACACAACTTGCTTTTCCCATCCTTTTATATCATTGTAAGTGCATTATAAATTATTCAAATTTTCTAAGAATTCTAAGATTCTGAGAAATGTCTGTGTATATATAAAAATATTATCACTGCCATAAATACTAACATTTTCATCAGTCAGATTCTTCAGAATCTCAAAGATTTTGATAAAGTTAAAACTACGTTGTCTCTGACAACACTATATTGACAAATTAATTTTTACAGCAATGTACTACACAAATTAACTTGTGTAGCAGGCCATTAAAAGGGGGGGGGTGTCACAATAACCTTGAAGATTGGGTTTGACTCCAAACAGTTTCAAGAAAAATAGCAGAAATAATGTAGAAATCATCGTTTTTCTGTGAGAAGGTGCTAACAGAGTCAGGGCATTGCCAATTACACAGAATTCTGCCAACATGTTCATATGTAGTGGCCCAGTTATTATAAAAAATAATTATTACAAATAATTATTTTTTATTTCAAGTACAGTACAAAGTCCGTAATCCGGACTCAGGCGATTCCGGATTATAGATCATCATTTTAAATATGGTAAGATGGCATGCAGAAATTATACAATTAAAAATATGAAACCGTAATTTATGAAATAAAGAGCAATTATGATCTAAAGGGTATCAAAATTTACAAAAAAAAAAAAAAAAAAAAAAAAAAAAAAAAAAAAAAAGGGGGGGGGGCTTAATATTTATTTGTTTACTTTATTAAACATTTCTTTCAATGTAAGTTGTTTAAGTTGCTTCATTTTTTTGTGCTAATACTTTCTCTTTAATTTTCTCTTCTATAAACAGACATAATTTCTTGTTCAGTTACAAAGATCCCCTGTTCAAATCCTGTAAATGCTGTGTCGAGAATACCGACTAACTTGTCAATCGAAATTTTTTTGTTTTCAATAACTTTCTCTGTCACTTTCTTCACTATCGGAAGCGTGCATGTGTACACGCTTTACTGGCTTTATGTGCATGCATAAGTTTGTGGCTTTGAGGTCCAGATTATAGATCATTCTGGATAATGGACGTCCGGATTACGGACTTTGTACTGTATTTTATATTTTTGCATGTGTTTAATTATTTCATAAAATTAACTTTAACATTTTGTTAATATTGATATTTACATTTCTTTAATGTTGATTGGCAACAACTAGTTATTCAGATTTATATTTACATTTCTTTTATGTTGAATGGCAATGAGTAATGATTCATTATTACTTTGGTTTTCGAATGTTGATTCTCTTTTGTAGTTGAAAAATAAAAGCAGTAAACTTAGCCATTCGTGATTCTTGCTGTTCCTAATTATAATTTAGTTTCAATATCAGTAGCCAAGACTACACATATTCTGGTTAAATAATATGAATGTGTATACATGCAGCATGATGGGTCAAAAGTGCGATAAAAATAATTATTGAAAACAAAAATCAAATCATTTAAAAGGACAAATTAATGAAACAATAACCTACAAAAGAATTATGATAAGATATACACTGACTACCAATAAGTATTTGGACACCTATGCAAATGACGATATCTGCGGTCCTAAGGTACGTCACGGACTCCACCGGTATATATCGTGTAGGAAACAGCATCGGCTTTAGTCGCATGCAAGATGCCTCGCAGTTCGGAGGTCTCTGATTTTGAGAAAGGTATAATTATCGGGTATCATAAATGTGGCCGATCCTTAAGGGACATATCTAGCGATCTGAAGTACCCAAAATCGACAGTGGCCTATGTGATTAAGAAGTGGAAGGTGAGCGGTGATTATCAGAATGTGCCCCGAGTCGGCAGACCAATGAAACTGGGAGATAGAGACCGACAAGTGCTGTCCAGAGAAATTCGGAAGAACCGCACCCAACCGATGGCCCTCATCCACGAGGAGTTTCAACAGGTATCCGGGAGTATTGTTTCAATGAATACCATCCGTAAGGAAGCACATCTGCTTGGTTTTCATGGTCGTGCTGCTGCCCATAAGCCTTTGATCACAAAGTCCAACCGCGCTGCTCGGTTAATGTGGTGCAAAGCACATCGAAATTGGACCGTAGATCAGTGGAAACGGGTTCTTTGGAGTGACGAATCAAGGTTCACCCTTTACCATTCGGATGGCAGGGTCTGGGTCTGGCGTCTACCTGGAGAACGTCTCCTGCCAGAATGCATTGTGCCAACAGTCAAGTTCGGCGGAGGTGGAATTATGGTCTGGGGGTGTTTCTCCTGGTATGGGCTGGGACCCTTGGTCCCCATTCATGGTAAGCTCAACTCCGATGCCTACTGCACTATTTTGGATGACAATGTGCTTCCTACGTTGTGGCAGTTTTACGGGTTGGACCCCTGTTACTTTCAGGACGACAATGCCAGTTGTCATGTTTCGACGTTAACCAAGGCTTGGTATGGTGCCAATGGAGTTCATCGAATGGACTGGCCTGCCCAGAGTCCAGACCTGAACCCTATCGAGAACCTCTGGGACGAGTTGCATCGCCGAATTCAGGGGTGCACTACCCGTGCAAAATCGGTGAAGGAACTTCTATGTCTTCTCCAAGCCGAGTGGAAGAAAATACCACTAGCTGTCATACAAAGACTTGTGGAAAGTATGCCCCGGAGGGTCCACGCTGTAATTACCTCTCGTGGAGGCTCTACCAACTATTAATTTTGAATAAAGTTAGTTTTTCTTTTCTATCACAGGTGTCCAAATACTTATTGGTAGTCAGTATATATTAAAATTAGAGGAAAAAACAACTAGTCAAGCATTTAATAAAGATTGAAAGAAAATAATTACTAACCCTGATAGATATCCTCTATAGTCTTTTTAGTTCGAACACATGCATCATGACAAAATGCGTAAGCTATTCTCATCTAGGGAAGAAATACAGGAGAAAATATGTATAAAATTTATATGCACACACACACACAAAGTAATGTTTATTATAGCATCATGTTTAACTAACTTTATCTTTAGTAATGTAACTCATAAATACTTTTTTCTTGATAAATATTTTACATTCATTATATCAGAAAGTGAGGACTGATATTTAGATTGGGTTTTCTGGATAAAACTTTGGCTTTTAAGCTAAGATTGAACTCTTAAATAAAATTAAAGAGATTAATAAAATTTTGCTCTTCTGCACTGCATTTCTTTTATTTACAAAATGTAATTACATAATGTGGTATTAATCATATTTGTATTGTGCACATATTTACTACATACAACTGTACATTGGTTACAATATCTAAAAAGCAATGCAAATTTAGTGAGTGATAGACAGATATTAACACCTTCAAACAGTGTGAAACTTTTATTAACTCTTAACCAGGGCTGTGGAGTCAGTAGGGAAAATGACCGACTCTGACTCCCTCATATATATTTAAGTAAACATATACACATGGGTTTCAGCTTATTTTTTTTTAATATAAAAGAAGTAATAGATGCTACAGGGAAAAAAAAAATGATGGCATAGCAAATTATTTATATTAATTAACATTTATTATGAAATGGAAAAACTGGCATTAGTTATTTCTAAGAAACAGTATAGCTTCGGCAAGATCTTTGTTGGAGGGCCACAGATCCGATTTGACAAACTTCAGAGCTGAGAAGAGTCTTTCCACACTAACTTGAGTAGGAGGAAGAGCTGTTACTGTTAGGGCTACTCCTTTTAACTTTTCAGGATAGATTTTATAAGTTCTAAAAGAGGTGTCTTGCAAGCACAATCATATTTCTGTATTTCTTCAAAGGCCGTATAGACATCTTGTTTGTATTTTTTCGTTTTTATATCTAAAGGCTCTTGGTTCTTTATTTTCATTCGCTTTGCCTTAGCCTTTTCAATATTATCCAAAAATATTTCTCAAAATCTAATTCATCACTGGAAGAGGATGGTAGAGACTCAATTAAAATGTCTTCAGTTTGACTGCCCTGATTCGAATTTTCCAATTGTTCTGAGAATAATTTCATTCTTAATGAAAGTTCATAGATGGCTTTCTTTGCCTCTTTAATTTGTTCATCATCCAAGAAAATTCGGTGTTTCGAATCTACATATATTGAACCCAGCAAGATCTCATTGTCTAGCAAACTAGTTTCTCTTTTGTTCATTGAAGAAATGATTCCTTCTGCAATAAACCCTCCATTTCAGAAAGAACAAACTTCACATTCTTTCATTCTCACCTCCTTTTAATTCTTCAGATTGCAGCTTTTTTGTGGCTATATATGGTGTAGAAAGAAGAGTTTCCAATTCTGCAAGATCATTCCACAGTCTTTCTGTTAATGAAACATTAGGGTTATCCACATCTTCTAAAAAAGTTGTTAATTCTAACAACCTCTTTATCATCAAATATGTACTTCCTTATCCTGTTGCTTGATAAATAAATGCTCCTTTTCCTGCTCGCTTCCTAAGAATGGCATCAATTTTGGGAGTTCTTGCTGCTTACCTAAATTTACCAGTGAAATTTGTAACTAAATGAATCAGTTAAATCACTAATGGCAAATATCACACCCATCCTCCTCCTTTATATTTATTTATTAATATATCAATAAAATAGAAAATAACTATTTATAATTATATATAATCAATAAATAAAAATAATAACTCAGCTTGTCATTAATTTTTTTCAATTCATTTTAATTTCATTTCAAACTGTCCAATGAAAACTGGAGGCATAGTCGACCTGTTTTTAGCGACTCCAGCTCCCACTTCTTTTACCCCCAAATCTGCCTGACTCCAACTCCACAGCCCTGCTCTTAACACCACAGTATAATCTCGGAGATTATGATAAATTTCTACTTGCTAGAAATTTCATATTAATGAATGAGTTTATCTTCTCTTTTAACATATAATTAATCCACATTCGTACACCACTAGCATTTTATAGCATTGGTTAATAAATATAGTGGAACTCCAGATATTCACACTCCATCCAGGCAACTTGCCAACTTTTTGCAAGTGTGTTCATTCCTTGTGAAAAGGGGAAACTTACACACAGCCAACATATTTGTTTAGTCTATTTTTAGAACAGGGGATCTTATGGTTGAACAATCATTTACAGAATAAATAAAAAAAAAAACAACCAGCTTATATGCATTTTCATTAATAGTTTTAGGTTACATATTTGCTAAAAAATCTAAGCCAAACTATATATACAGTCATCTAAATTATTACAGCTTTCTAATTTTAAGCCAAACTATACATTATTACACACATTCATCTAAATTATTATAGCTTCTCAGCACTGTACTGTATTATCATACATACATTTATCAGTTCTGGTGTTTTCTGAGATTCCCTTTGGAATTTAAAATTTCATATATAAGTAGCTAATGATGTACCGAAAATAAACTCTCCCAATTTTGACCGCACTCCTGGCACCCCGATTTACAACACATTTCTCCTGCCTTTCTCTTATTCTTGAAATTTCATATGATTTTTATTAGTTCAGCATAATATTTCATTATTTTCACCCCAAAATGTGCTTTCCGTTATTGATATATTTATGTTTTTCTCTAACTTATCCATTTAAAAAAAATTTTATAACTGCCATGATTATATGCATGTGGAAGTAGATGTGTCTGAAAATGCCGGGATCCAATTTAAATGCATGATGATTGCATGTGATATTTGATTTTGAGATTAGTGTGCTTGAGGAAGTTGTTCAAGGGTGTGCAGTCTTGTGCTTTAATTATGTATTACAGTCAAAAATCGTTAATCCGGACTCGTCGGGACTTCGGTGATTCCGGATTATAGATCATCAGTTTAAATCTTGTAAGAATGCATGCAGAAATTTAAAAATTAAAAATATGAAACCGTAATTTATGAAATAAAGAACAATTATGATCTAAAGGGTGTCAAAATTTACACACACACACACACACCACAAAAAAAAAAAAAAAAAAAAAAAAAAAAAAAAAAAAAAAAAAAAAAAAGCTTAATATTTATTTGTTTACTTTAGTAAACATTTCTTTTAATGTAAGTTGTTTCGTTTTATGTGATAATACTTTCTCTTTAATTCTATAAACAGACATAATTTCTTGTTCAGTTACAAAGTTCCGCTGTTCAAATCTCGTAATTGCTGTGCCGAGAATATCGACTATTTTGTCAATCGAAATTTTTTCGTTTTCACCAACCTCTCTGTCACCTTTTTATGTCTTTATCCATTTTTTTGCAGCAATTCCACTTTTTGTTTGACGGACATCGAAACATACTTTCGTTTTGTAGATCCTTTGGGAGCTCCAGCATCGGAAATTCTATTTTGACATAATCGAAAGTTCAAGTTTACATTTATAAAATTGCTCTTACAGTCAGCAAAAAATAATAAGCCACATCCAATTCGAAGATTAAGGAACAACGCAATCATGCAACATTAACTGAAATAGATAATTAGATAATTTAGCTTATACTGTCTGTTATACATTAAACGCACACGCGAAAAACGTATTCTGCGAATTGCGCACAACGCATAAGCGCAGTGCGTAAAGGTCTTAGGCGCACGCGTAAACGCCTATGCGCATGTGTCAACGCGGCGCATGCGCAGAAAGTTTTTAGCTTTGAGGTCCGGATTATAGATCATTCCGGATTAACGACTTTTGATTGTATTTTTATTTCCAATACCAGAGAATAAGACAAACATTATACAAACAGAACAGAAGCCTGCAAACATACAACATAAAAATTCAATATCTCATCATTTGGCCTATAGCACTCCAATACCTCTCTACTTCGGAAACTCCATGCAGTGTCAGGCATCTTCCGATGTGGATCCTCTCCATTTTTTCATTTCAGTTGCAAAGTGGGCAGTTTGGGCTAGGCTGGTAAGAATACCAAGACATTACAGATGGCTCAGATCAGCAGCCATGACCAGTTTCAAAACTTAGCCACAGCTATTCTCCCTGGTTTGTCTCATTATTTCCTTTCCAAGATGCTCCTCCAGCTCCCCGTGTCATAAGTTCACTTCTTCCATTTTGCTTAAAAAATTTATGAATGTATAATTTTGCAGAATAATAAGAACAATTTGTAGATATCTTTTGATCAACTTCTGTACCTTTTTTCCAAGTTTGTTGGTCTGATCATTACCAGAAAGACCACAATGATTGGGAATCCATTGTAGTACAATCTTTTTACTTCCTAGTCTTAGTTTCTCCAGAAGAATTTGACATTCAAGGATTTTGTTGGAGATTGAACAGGCATAGTTCATAGTTGAAATTTGGGGCATTAATCTGTTTTAGGGTCCACAAATACTGTTGCATCAGGTTCTTCTATTTACAATAAAATTAATGTAAAATTCCTTTCCTGCTGCATCTTCAGTGTTCGCGACGCCAGGCTTCTAATAATCACGTTTTCCAGTAAGAGTTTCTATTAGGCTTAACAGGCCATCTTGTCTTTTACTTATTTATTCAAATAAAACACTAATATACACTATTTACAAGGTTGGCAATAATTATTTTAAGACAGTACATTTTAATTGTTTTTCTGAGTCTAAAGTTTAATCTTTACGCTCCTCAGAGTGGTTCCAATCTGGCTTCGTTCTCAGAACTCAATTAGAGGGGGAAAAAAGGGGGGTGGGAAGAGATACCCGCCATTTAGTGGCAAGAATGGGACATCCTCCCACCTTTTGATTTTACCTCGATAAGATGGGAACATCAAAAGAAAATTTATCAATAATCACACAAAAATTCAAGTACAACTTTCACAAATATGAAAGTAACTAATGCTCTAAAATTAATATTTACAAAGAAGTATTACACATCTAAACATTTTCTGCATTACAATCATACCATATCCAAGTTAGGACTGTTAGGACAATTAAATTTGTTCCAATTGACTACTGTTAGGACAATTAAATTTCTAAAATACTGAAAATAAACAAAAATTAGTATAGCAATTTAAAAATATGTAACAGGTTTTACAGTTTTACATCCATATCTAGTTTGATAGTTCATATCACTGTCACACTTATCGGCAGAATTCTTTCTGTTCATGGTGAAGTCACTAAACAAGTTAGGTCTATCAAGTTCGAGAGGATAAATACGTTTCACAGGTCTTAGGAGTTCACCCATTGCAGTTTTCACTTTGACAACACGTACTTCGTTGTCTTTCTCAGAATATATTTCTACAACATGACCTATTGGCCAATCTATTCTCTTCTTGTTGTCGCTGCCGACAAACACCAAGTCATTTTTGTTGATAGACACAGTAGATCATTTAGATGGTTTTTGCACTAGGATAGCTAAATATTCATCACAAAATCTTTTGCGTGAAGTGTTCTCTTAATGTTCTGCAAGAACTTGTATCTTTTTGTCAGATTGATGGTATCCAGGTAGTCTAAGTCTGGTACTCTGATGTCATGCACATCTTGTAGAAACATTGAAGGAGTTAGTGCTGTAAGATCATACTTGGATCTTCTGAAATGTACGTAAAGGGGTCTTGAGTTAATCACTGATTCGATATCACAAAGTATAGTCAACATTTCCTCGTAAGAGACACAGAACTTTCCGAGAACTTTTCTCAACATCTTCTTTACTGTTTGTACCAACCTCTCCCACCAACCGCCCCACCGTGAAGCAGTTGGGGGATTAAACTTCCACTGTATTCTCATACTAGTTGAATGACATTCTATTTCTTTCCAATCTATCGATCGTAACAGATTTTCAGTTCCAACGAAATTAGTGCCATTGTCGCTGTAAATAATACTTTGACGACCTCTTCTTGTCAAATGTCAAACACTTATAACTGATTCCTTTTCTCCACTCACTTACACGGAAACTAAAAATGCAGAAATAATCATAATTCGATGGGTTCAGAAAGATTACTTTGTTAAGTAATCTTTTTAATCTTTTGTAATGAAGACCTAAAATGCATTAAAAATCAAAGATCGTTGCCTAAGAAAAGTCAGCTACACTCCCTCCATCCGTTTATAGATGAAAACAGTCTTTTACGGGTGGCAGGACGTTTACAAAATTCAGAATTGTCTTTCAATCAAAAGCACCCAGTGATTCTAACAGCTAAACACAAAATAAGTGATCTCATAGTAAAAGAAAAGCATGTGACTTATTTACATGCTGGTGCTTCATTACTGTCTCACATTATCAAACAATCATATTGGATCGTAGGTGGAAGAAAGCTCATTAATAAATGTGTTCACAAATGCATCAAATGCTTCAAATTTAAAGCATCCACCGCATCTCAGCTTATGGGTAATCTACCTAAGCATCATGTAACACTCGAGAGGCCTTTCGTCAACTGCGGAGTGGACTATGCCAGTCCTATTTCAACCAAATTCAACAAGGGTCATGGAGCAAAATCAACCAAGGGTTACATTGCTCTATTTATTTGTCTCGCTACTAAGGCACTACATATCGAGGCAGTGAGTGATTTAACCACTGATGCATTTTTAGCTGCTTTGCGTCGTTTCAGTGCTAGACGAGGAGCTCCAAGTCACATTTACAGCGACAATGCAACAAACTTCCTTGGGGCTAATCGAAAGCTCAGCGAAATACAACGATTGTGGGCTTCACTTCCTAAGAATGAAGCCGTTGCTCATTATTTAACTCAAGCATCAATAGAATTCACAAATGTCGACCACTAATTTAGAGTGATGAAGGAAGTCAGCCCCAATAATAGGTTGAGAGACTGCAGCGATGACAAACAGCCAATGAAATTCCCTGCATAAGTCCAGTTTAATGAGTTTTTGTCCAAAAGTAGGTATTGCAGTCCCATTTGCAGCAAAAAGTTGATGCTTGGCGGGTGGCTGATTGCGCTCCACAACTGTGGGTGGAACTACCAAGGCATTTGCTTCCGAATGAATCAGATACTTCGTGGATTTATCTGAGAGGTATAAATGATAAATCTTGGTTTTGCTGTTACCCAAAGAATCGAGTGACGGCGGCACTAGTTTTCCACCTGAAAGATACAGGGTTTTGTGCACTTGGTAGCTTTTACTTCGAAATGCTGATGGTACCAGCAATGCTCTAGTCTTTTTACCATCGGAAAGATTTCCTACTAGCAGATAGCTTTAATGTGTTTGTTATCATAACTCAGTGTATGATATGATGTTAATTAATCTGAAGAACTAACTACTTTCTCTTGAATACCATTCTGAGATATCTTATACCTGACTATATATCAATATAAGGTTCTCTATATGGTCAGAAGCTTTATTAACTAAAAACTTGATTCCATTTCTATTTACAACTCCTTTTGGGGCATTTTGAAGTTTTAAATCTACATCTCTTACTTCTATCTTGTTAACCTAATCTCGTCATATCTGATGATTAGAAAATCCAAACCATTTTTAAAAAATCTTTGATATACATTAAGGCATAAATTTAAACTCGTGAAAAATTTAGGTCTCATGCGCTTCTCTGTTCTAATGAAACAATAGCATAACAAATAGGTTAGTAACACATCCCTGTTTTGCTTTAGGCAGGTTAGGTTATGCTGGTAATCATGTTACACATGGGAAAAACCATGAAAACCAACCATGCAGCCACTCCATTCACCTGAGTTTGAATTACCAGTATTCAGCAGTCTCTAATAACTCGACTACTGATGGAGCCTTCACTCTGGCCAAGAAAAGCATAATTTATTTTCAGCTATTTCTCACTTTCAAAATATAATCTTTTCCTCAAACTTATTCAGTTCCAATTAGTAATACAGGTTTTGGAGGAGTAAAGGACTGGAATTACATCTCAATATACATTGTGATATATCCATACAGATAATTATATCAGCATTAGGAACAGAGTGATGGACCAAAAAGGGAGAACTTACCTCATGATGGCAGTTTCTCAGGCCATCAACATATGAGCGCGAACACCTTGACAGGACTGCAGTCATGACATACAATTCAATTGCAATATTTGCAAGTTTGGTGGGATCAATCTGAGTTTCTACAACTTTCTAAAAATACATAAATAAAATAAAAACAGAGTTTTTATTACATTATTCTGGTGAATTATACTAATTTTTTATTATTATAAATGAAAATTTTTACTTACTACACCATGTTCAGATAATACTTTTTCAACAGCTACTTCAAATTTCTGAAGCGCAGTTTCTAAATTATTACCCCATTCCTGTAATAAACAAATAAATATAAAAAAAGAGTGCTTATTTAAAAAAATATTGTATATATAAAGGTTGAATAATTACATTCTTTTTTATACGAAAAAATATTTTATAACATCTTTATTCTTTAAAACTAATTAAAAAAAGTTAAATATAATTATAATATTGTACTTTATCATTCAGAACATTTTTTAATTAGTTTCAAAGAATAAATGTAAAAAGGAAACTGTAAAAAATAAATATGAATTGAATTATTATATTTCTTTTTTAAGGCAAAATATATGTTTTTAATATATCGAGTTTTAACAAAAGTTTCCTGCCACTGCATATATCGTCTGTGCAAACAGTTCACGTTGGCGTGTTTAATCATATTTCGTTAAACAATTTTCGTTTAGAACAATGTGTTGTGAAAATTTGTTAAAAAAATCATTACCATTAAATAAAAGGTCTGAAATGAAACTACCATGCTACTAGATTAGAACCATCATTTATTTCCGGTTCTGTTGCAAAAGGACAGCTACAGAATGTCACCAAATCATGTGTATAGCTTTAGGTACTAATGTTATATTATATGAGACTATGAAGGTTTGGTATCAAATTCAAAAACACGAACCATGACATTCAAAAAGCAGAGCACTCTGGCCAGCTTACAGATCTTACTGATGTTAATAAGGCCCGCCTGCAAGAACTTGTGGAAGAAGATCAGTATGCAACCACTTGAGAGTATGCTAAGGAGGTAGACGCTAGTACTATGTCCATTAGTCACGCTATGCGTCACATAAACTTGACATAAAAGTTCAGTTGCAAAAATTCTGGACCAGATCGTCACTTCTGATGAAGAGTGAATTTACTTCAATAACACAGGCTGAAAAGGGCATTGGTCTGCATCCAGTGAGCCCGTTGGCAGCATCGCAAAGCACAATCTCACTAACTAAAAGATCATGCTTTGTATCTGGTGGGATTGCTGCAGTATTATTCACAAAGAGATTTCAAAAAAGGTAAAATCCTCGACAGCAAGGTTAACAGTGAATTCTAATCCTTCTTGACACTGCTATCAAGGAAAAACATCAAACTGAGTTTGGTTTCACAGAACTCACAGAAAGGTAATGTTCCCTCAAGATAATGCACGACCACATGTGCCTACACTCACCGGTTGGCCTCTATATGGACTCGAATGAGATCATTTGCCACGCCCGCCATATAGGCCCGACATCGCTCCTTCGGACTTCTAATTTTTTCACACCTACAGCTACATCTTGCTGGTGCTAACTTCCATTCTGCGCAGGATGTCCAAAATGAGGTTGATCTGTTTTTGGATTCACGGCCACCAAGTTTCTGGACTAAAGACTTTGAAAAACTACCAAAACTTGGCACAAAATTATAGATTTGGGTGGTGATTACTATCTGCACTAGTATTGCTTTCAATTTTTTTAAACTTTATTAATAATGTCTTCTGACAGAAAACTTTCATTAGAACTAGTAGATATTTATTTTTTGAAATTATTATCCCCCTTCTCTACAAAACTCCCACAATGTTAAACATATGACAGACAGCATTAGCAATTCTGAAACAAGTATTCAATATAACTTATAACATTATTTATTTCATTTACTTTTACACTTATTTAGATTATAGATATCTGAAACTTAATAAATAATACTGTGGTATATTATCAACAGACACTTTAATGTGTAAATGTGAGATCTACTAGAGATAAGTAAATTTTGTACATTAATGTTAATACTTATACCCAAAATTATCCTTGACATTTTATCATGAACAGAGTTATAATACATGTTATAATACATACAGGTTTAACATGAACAGAGTTATAACACATGACAGCTGAAGAATTTTTCTGCTACTTCATACACATTATTTTACAATTATTTAATAATTACCTGATAAAAACAAGTTAGTTGAAACCTACATTTGCCAACAGAAGTAAAAAGCAAGGAAATACTGTCATTAGTCACATAGGAATAATCAAATAATTCTACAACTAATACCTGTATGCCATAAACAATACAGCACTGCTGTATGATTCCAAAAATTATGAAATATGATAGAAAAGCTAACTAGATTTAAATTATGTACAAACTCTACAAGATTCACTGAAAATGCATATACATATATTAAATACTTTGATAATATTTAAAACATGTATGAAAAACAAAGAAAAAGATGCATAACAAATTTTCACAACTGTTCAAAAATCAGAAAAGGTATATCTGTATTGGATAAAAAGGGGGCGGGGCGAGAGAAAGAATTAAAAGAAATTATAACATGAAAGGAAATGTTCATTATTACTTCAAATAAACTATAAATTATACAATAGATCACATTAAAATCTTTAAATCTTTTTACATTTTTTTTAAATCTGGCATTTCATTATGGTGAAAATACATTAAGATTAGAAAAATACAGTAAGCAGTAAAATATAATATTCAAGATACAGTAATAATACATAAATTTTAATGGCACACTATTTTTTAAAATGGAACACTAGATCTCATAAGCAAGTTTCATTTCAGCTACTTGTATTCTAAATTATAGAAATAAACACACTTAATGCACGCTATTTAACATTCTTTATTTTATAAATTCAGAGCAATGTATGGCACCAACAACATGAGCAGCTATAAGTATTAACATTACATACAGCTTTTGCGAATTTCAGCAACCAATAATATGTAAATATGTTGCTAGTAATATGGCTGAATAAAACTAACTTAATTCAAGGCAGATAGTTGGGACCTGGATGACCAATGTCAGTGCTGACATCAAGATTTCAGAAATATTTACAACTTTAATATTTGAACAAACTTCTTTACAATCATAAATCATTAGTTCTTTTTTTTACAATAACAGAAATGCATTATAGCAGAATTAGTGCTAGAATGTATTTGTATATTTCACTGACTGTCAAGAGATGCATAATGTTCTGCAGCTCTTGAAGGTCCATGTCCTATTGTAAAATATATGGACGAGATACCTGAGTTCAAAAAACCTAAGGAGACTATAGAAATAAAAAGTACCCACTTCTAAATTGTTCTATTTCATATCACTTAACTTGATCTTAATTTGAAGAGAAAGCAGTTTTCCTTAGTTAGAGATTGGAAATAGCAACACAAAGTTAGAGATTGGAAATAGCAACATAGTGATACTAGGTATCAAAAGAAGAAGCTACATCTTTTTTACTGGCTCATTTCCTATGAGCTTCACAAAGGCTGCCACACAAGCTACTATGAATGGTCACATAAGAAAAAATAAGTAATACCCTTCAAAATGATTCCCCCCCCCTGCTATAAAGGCTACAAGATTGATTTACAATCTAAAAATACTAACACTATAACACAAATAAAAATACTAACATTTAACTGAATTTTTGGAATGCTAATAATAATAATAATAATAAATAAATAAATAAATAAATAAATAAAAAAATACATAGATTAGGAGAAGAGTAATGATGAAATAGAGACATGTTTGATCTGTTTCTACATGTACTCTATATTTATTTGAAACAACCTACAGTTTTATTGATAGCAACCAATATAATACACCTAGATACGGTAAACAATGCCAAGCACAGACTAAGAAATACGGATCAATGGAATTTAAATGAACAAAAAGTGATCCTCTGGAATGATGAGATTTGTTTTATACTGGTGCACGTGATAAATAGGACACAATGCGAATATCATCAAAACACACTGTTTGGTTGCACAGTTTCACTGTGTTATACACTGCCATCTTACTGCAGAAAAACAGTCTTTATCATTGGGTTTGAAAAACAACTGGATGGCTGGACAAACAAACAATTCCTCATTCACTTTTCCATCAAGCTCTATTACACAATTATGGGATTTATTTAAACAGGTTGTGAAAGTTGTTGATCCTGCACTAAGAAATGTGAAAAGATCCTGTTGCCAAGAGCAAAGGAATTGATTTATGCAAAAATGAAATTGAAAACAATCAGAGTAACTTCCTAAGTATTTATGAGTCTGTCTCTGCACAGAAAGAAAGATAAATGCATTATTAGTTTGGAGTTCTTAATGAAAATTGATATTATTATAAAAAAAAAAAAAACTTACACTCTTATATACAACTTGTAGCCATTAATACATAAAATGTGTTTTTTTTTTTTAAAGTTGAAATTTTGCAGACAGGGAAAATATTTTTTTAATTAAAAAAATTGCTTTTAAAAATGTAAAAAACTTTAAAAGAAAACTGAGGGTACTAGATAAGGGGGGGGGGCGAAGCCATTTCTACATTTTTAATATACACCAAAGAGCCATTACATTATGACCACCCTCCATCTATAATAGTGAGTTCGTCCAGGAACAAAACCACTGCACGTGCATGGAGTATATAAAGGGTTATGCATTGTCTTTTCAAACATGACACGATTAGTGACATAATGTGAAAAAACAGCTGTATCTGCAATGGGCCAAGAAACATCGGAATTGGACATTAGAAGAATGAAAGAAAGTTGCATGGTCCGACGAATCATGTTTTCTGGTCCATCACATTGACAAGCGTATGCCAATATGCCGATTTCCAAATGAAACCCTGGCTCCCTGATGCATGGTTGGAAGGAGAGAAGCTGGAGGCGGGGGTATTATGGTGTGGGTAATGTTTTCATGGAGCACATTAAGACACATAATCCCCATAGAACAATCCCTGATCAATTACTTCTGATGTCTGTGCACTACATAAACATCGTTGCAGACCAGGTTCACCCATTCATGACAACAATATTTCCAGCGGTGGATGGTGTTTACCAATAGGATAATGCACCATGTCATAAGAGTCGAATTGACAGGGAGTGGTTCGAGGAATATTCCAATGACTTTCAAGTCATGTCTTGGCCTCCAAATTCTCCTGACATTAATCCAATAGAGCATTTGTGGACCCACCTGGAAAACCAAATTCATGCTGCCACGCTACCCCCTCGCAATGTGTAGGAATTGCAGGACCAGTTGGTGAGTACTTGATACCAGA